GGAGAGGGCAGGGGAAAGTGAGGCAACCTGCTGGGTCAGAGCTCTGCTCCAGGATGTTTCTGTGCTCCAAAAGCCCAGTATCTGCTGCAGCCCTTGGGGTTGGATGTTGGGAGTCCCCAGCCCTGGGCATTCCCTGCACCCTGGTACTTCTTCAGTCACCAGAATGGATGTTCTGCCACCAAGTGGAGCTGATAAACCCGACAGAAAGGAAAGGTGTATTGCCTGGGGTGTAATGATGCCCCATTAATCTGATGAACACGTTCAGGGATGAGGTTTTGGCTCCTCTTGCTCCCTTCAGTCCCACAGCATTTGGTCCCTCTTGCTGGGCTGGGTTCTCTTGGCTGGCATGGGAGAGAGGTCAGAAAATGAGCTGGCAACTTAAAAAAAATGAAGCCATAAATAATGATAAAAGGTGATTTCAGGCTTGTTTTCATAACTGGGTGCCTGAATTTTGGAAAGGAATTTTATAGGCTTCATAAACCTTACTTAAAAGTGATTTTTGAAAATGCTTTCAAATAGTTACTGAGACTCATCTTCTGATAATCATGTCGGTGAAAAAGTGATAACCAGGAGAAATCTGCTGCTGTTTTCCTGTGCTCTGGGAAGGGGGTGGGGAGGAGGTGGAGGGGAGCCTTGTCTGTAGCCTCATAGGGAAAGCACAGAGGAGTCAGCAGGGTGATAACAAAAACAAAGGAACAGGGTTTGCATGCTGTGCAGGCTCTTATCTTCTCCCTTTCATGAAAAACAGAGAAAGAGCAGAGCAGAAAGGTTGCAGGCTTCACTAAGTCCTAATTATCCCTTGATTATGCCCACGGCAGGGATGAAGTTTTCAAAAGTACAGTTTCTGCAGCAGATCCAGAAATCTGGCTCTCTGGTTCCAGACCTGTTTCCATGCCCAGCCAAGCGGCCGTGGGGCCACACTCGAGACTCCAGGGATGTGTGGAGCCTGAAAAGACAGATTGTACCTAAAAGCTGCTCGGATTTATGCCACTGCATGTGCTGCAGGAAGGTTTTTTCACCTTCCTTTCCTTCCCTGCCCCAGGCAGGAAACCTGTTCAGTTCAGACAGTGTGCATAATCCTGCATAATCCTGCGTGGTTATTTAGTCTGGGATAGAAAAGTCCTCATGATCTCTGTTTTTCTTTTTAACTCCTCCTCCTTTCTTTAGCATTCAGGAATTGCAAGAGCTATTTAGAATGAAACCCAACGTGATTTAGAATAAACCCCAACATTTCTGCAAGAGAACTAAGTGCTGAATTCCTCTTCTTTTTCTCCAGGTACTTCAATCCTCTGGGAGTAAGAGCCCGAGGAAGGCAGGAGGGAGATGTCCCATGTAAGCACATCCCCACAGTCTGTAAAAGGGTTTGAGTGTCTTCAGTCTGCTCTGTGAGGTTCAGCTACCCCAAACGTTCCATGTTTGCAGTGATGTGGATTTGGGAAGGAAGGGGGGGGGGTGAGCGATGGGCTGTGCTCGGGCAGCTGAGGGGGGATTGATTTCCCTGAGCTCTTCCCTGGAGCTGTTGGATTTCTTGCTTCATGGTCCTTATTTCCACTTCTCAGGCAAAACTCAGCTGAGACCGAGCCATCTTCTCCCACCCTTTTCAAAGATCAGCTGCTCAAGCAAGTGAAATATTCTTTCTTTGCATTAAAAAGAATATAAGAAGCAACTGGTCTATATGAATATGATTCCCCAGATTGCTCACAGAATGCAGCTCACTGAGGTGCATGTGCATCCTCCATGCTCCCAGTGCCCACAGCCTGACACTGGTAAGAAACATCTCATAAAAATAAGTGGCATATTGCATATTTCTTAGAGTAGGAATTGTATGGAATGGTGTGCTTGGTTCTGCACAGGTGGCACTGATAACTCCAGGACTGCTGGACGTTATTTTCCTACTGCATTTATTTCTTGCTTTGTTAGGCAGCGTAATTTCATGTGATTCCTGTGGCAGGAATAAGATAATATCAATTTTGGCAGCATTAGTTTGAGTGCTAATGGGAGCAGTGCTCTGTGCAGGGTTCCTAACCAGACTGGGTTTATTTACAGTTGGTGAGGATGGAAACAAACCGAAAAATCTCCTGGCTTGTTTTTCATAGAGTTAAGTAAATACATTAAGTGCACACGTAAATGCAATAAACATGTACAAATACAGTTAACACACTGAATAAATACGTATTGTCTCTGTACATGAACTCCTTAGGATGTCCGGGGAGGGTAAAGAGCTACTCAAGGAGCATCAGTGCAAATAATGCAAGTATTATGTTAGTGAAAATAATTACAAGGGCAGGCAGTGACAGGACAAGGGGGAATGGCTTCAAACTGAAGGAGAGTAGGTTTAGATGGGATATTAGGAACAATTCTTCCCTGTGAGGGTGGGGAGGCCCTGGCACAGGTTGCCCAGAGAAGCTGTGGCTGCCCCTGGATCCCTGGAAGTGTCCAAGGCCAGGTTGGACGGGGCTTGGAGCAATCTGGGCTGGTGGAAGGTGTCCCTGCCCATGGCAGGGGGTGGAGCTGGATGGGCTTTAGGTCCCTCCCAAACCAAACCATTCCATGGTTCTGTGACATCCCTGTCCTGGGAAGGAATTCTTTGGGAAGGTAAACTTGGAAAGAATCCTGATTTCTGGTGCAGAGGGGGGTGTGTTGGCAGGATTCATATCCCATCCTCCCGTGGGTGCTGTGCCTCTGCCCTGCACCCTCCGGAGAGCAGGACTGGGGAGGACACCGTGGGGACACAGTGACTGAGACATTGCCGGGGAACATCCCGGAGACTCGACAAAGGTCAGAACCAGCCGGTTCCGATGCCGGCGGTGGGGAGTGACCCCGTGCATCCCGCGGCTGGCAGCTGGGCCGGCCCGGCACGGCTCCGGGAGCCCGTTCCATGGCAGCACCCCACGGGCAGCCCGTCCGACCCGGCACAGCCAGCCGGTCCCTCCGAGCGCGGGCGGTGAAGGGCCGGAGCGCTGCAGCTCCGGGGCTGCCTGGAGAGGGAGGCACAGCCCCAGGAACGGCACGGCCGGAGCGGCGGCACAGCCTTCCCAGAGCACGGAATGTGCCGAGCTGGAAGGGTCGGACCCACAAGGATCCAACTCCCTGCACAGGACCCTCCCCAAGAGTCACCCCCTGTGCCCCAGAGGATCATCCAAACCCTCCTGGAGCTCTGGCAGCCTTGGGGCCGTGCCCACTGCCCTGGGGAGCCTGGGCAGTGCCAACCACCCTCTGGGGGAAGAACCTTCTCCTGAGATCCAACCTGACCCTGCCCTGACACAGCTCCAGCCCTTCCCTGGGTGCTGTCCCTGGTCCCCCCAGAGCAGAGCTCAGTCCCTGCCCCTCCTCTGCCCCTGCCCAGGAAGGTGGAACTGCAGTGAGGTCTTCCCTCACTCTTCTCCAGGCTGAACAGACCGACACCTCAAATCTCTGGAATGAGTTTTGTTTGGCAAAAAATGCCCGTTCTGGGTACCCACCTAAGAGTGTGTTGCAGCATCCCCTCCCTCTGCCCCAGCCCTCTGTCCTGTCTCAAGGATTCCACATTATTCGGGCTGATACCAGCAAGCTTCCCTCTATCCAGGTAGAACAGTTGCTGGAATTGTAGAGCTTGTCCCCTTTTCACAGCCCTCTTCTTCGTGGTGGCCAATTACAACCAGTTCAACCATTTTTAGATTGTTCAGATTTGTAACAGCAAGGCTGTTACTGAGGAATGTCCTTCCTCCAGCTTTGCCTCCAGTGTCACAGCTGCACCACAGCAAGAGGGAATTCCATGGGATTCATGGACAGCAAGATGAGGTTTGTGAGAGCACCTTGATGGAAAACTGTGCTCTCTATTTGGTTGTGTCTCGATGGTCCTTTAATAATGAGAGGATAATAAAGAGTTCTACGTGGAGAAGGAATAGAAATGGAACACAGTTTTGAGCAGTTCAGATGACTTGAAAATAAATAAATAAATTGTTGAGATCAAAACATTTTTGCTTAGTACTTAGGAATTTCATTTCTTTCTGTAGCTAATGGTGTTTGCAATGGAGTGCTTTGCTGGATAATTTTTAATTAGAAGCCAGGAAAGGGATTCAAGCTCCAAAACTATCATATGTTTATGCTCATCCATTTTCTCGAGTCTTTCTGGAGATAATGAATCCTGCCTCCCTTCCTCACTGTCAAGTTTGAGTTTGACCTTTTTGCTTGTAAATAGATTAGAAAAAATTAATCCCAGGCTGTAACAAGGTCTTTCATTATGTCATGGGGAAGGTTATTTATGCTTTTAAAACTTGTTCCAACCTAATAGGTGTGAAAGAAAGAACACTTAAGCTCTCTACTGCTGACAAGAATACTATATTTGAGGAAGAAAAGTCATGGTGGATTCATCTTGCTGATGTTATTTGAGATGAATATCAGCACCACCAGCATAAACTGGAAGATATATCTTTAAAGATAAAGGAAGTGGGTTTTACACTGGCACAGGTCAAATGGAATTACAACTGCACACAATTGAGGATGAGGAAAAGTGGGGAACTGGGAGAGAAGTTTTCTTTCCAGCCCGTTTCTGCACCTGATGTAACCAGCTGGGAGATGTCTGTGTGCAGCAGTTTCTGTTTCTTGGGCTATTTGCCCCAAAATAGGTTAAAGAAGCTTTCTAGTCTCAGCTGATGGAAGGTGATTAAAGCTGAAGGTGGAAGATGTGCTGCTGGCCCGTCCCTCTGCAGGAAGCAGTGCTGTGATGGGCACAGGAGAGCAGGGACAGCCCCCACGGCCACGGGATCGCTGCCTCCGCCACCCCGGTGAGTTCTCTGCTCCTCCAAGTCTTCAAGGGAAGCCCGAGGAGCTGATGGAGGGGCAGGCAACGTGAGGGGGGTGGGGGCTCCAGGGCTCTGCTGGACACTGAGAATGCTGTTTGAGCCCCCTGTGGAGGTCCCCGTGCAGAGGGGTTTGTCCCTGCACAGCCACATCTCTGGCTGTCCCAGCTCTGCACAAACACTATGAGAGCACACAGTAAAAATTCCTTTATAAAGGGATGATCTCACAGACAGCTTCGCCTTTAATTGCTCTTAAAATGTAAAGATGCTGATGCTCGGGTGAAGAATACTGATTTTTTTCCTTGCATCATCGTGGGATTTGCTCTAATAATGTCAAAATCTGTGCAAGTGGAAGGAAAGATCTGCCTTCGTTTTCTTGGCTTTGTTCTTGTTCAGTTGCCCTGCAAGGCTGTGGTCCCTGGGACCTGGGGAGGGTGAAGGGTTTGGAAACTTAGATAAAAGGCAAGAATGGCTCGACCAGAAGGATATAGAGTGGGAGAAAATGTTTTTGTGTGTTTGGGAAAAGGGAGTACAAACCTTTTTGAGAGGATACCGTGCCCCGAGTGTGGAGCACCAGCTGTTTGTCTCTGGATTCTGCAATTCAATTCTGGCTGCAGAGGCAAAATGAACTGCTGGTCTCACCTCTACTAAAGCACTTTAAAAAAGCTGATAAGCACAGTTGTTGCCCCAGGGCAGGGTGAAGAAGGGCTGAGAGGAGCTGAAGAATTAATGACATGTGAAAAACCCAAAGCCTGGGTAAGCCTGGCTTGGTTTGGTCATTGCAACTTCCACCAGCACTTCTTGTTTCCTTCATAATAGTTCTTTTAAAAAACATCATTCTGACCTGTCCCCCAGAAAGAGAATAGAAAGGCTCCCTTAACATAAATGTGATCCATTTGGGGTAGCCCCCAAATTCTCAGTTAAAGCCACCAGTGGCCAATGACCACCCAGGTGGCCTATTTAACCCTCTTTGTTTTGATCTACCTGGGGGAGGCTGCAAAATGCCTTTGGAAAGGTAAAGTCTCTGTTCACTCCAATTGCTTACTGTGTTTTAAATTAGTGGAAAACTGTGCCTGTCACAACTCCTACTTTGGTGATGAGCTTTGTGTGCTTTGCTGTGGTTTAGTAATCTGCCAAGGGAGAGACAAAATATTAGCCCAGCTTTAGTTGGGATAAGAAAGGCATTTTCCTCTTAACTGAGTTGTTTAGGCATTGCTTTAATTATAATGAGCAAACCGAGGGCGCTTCTATTAATATAATTGATGTTACCAAATGGAATTGATAGTTGCTGAGGCAGTAATAAAAAGTGGCTTATAATAACTAGATGATACTATATGATCTTTAAGATGATATTAGATGATCTTTAAGGTCCCTTCCAACCCAAACCATTCTATGATTCCACAGCCATTAAATGATTTGCTGACATTTTATAGGCATCCCACACTCTGAATAACTGAGATGTGCATGTGCAGGCCTTGGAAATGAATAAACCCAGTGGAAGCTGAGGCTCCCAGGGCAGGTTGGCTGCTGGCATCGAGCTGTGTTTCTCACAACTCAAACATTTTGGCTCACAACTCTGCTCAGGTGTCTTCACTACCCTGGTAGCCATGGAAAATGAGGCAGAAGTAGAGTTCTAGCCCCAGGGAAAAGCCTGAGGGGGTGGCTGAGCCCAGACTTGAGCCCACCTGAGCTCTACCTGAAGTCCTGCCTGTCCTCTCCTCCTGTTCTCCACACTGCAGCTCAGCAGCTGGGTTATATTTATACCCAGATAACTTGCTTCATTACGAAATTTCTTTCCTGGCAGGGGATGCAATCTATCATTAAATCAAAATCTGTCTGGAAACAGAACAGAGACTCGAACTTCAAAGCTTGCCACTGTTTTCCGTGGAGCTCTTCTTGCTGGTTGCCTGGGAGGCTTGTTTGAAATTATGCATGGAGACGGGCAGGGAGGAACGAGCTCCAAAGCCGTCATAATGATGCCCTCGAGTGGGCGAGACTTGGAAATGGCTTGGGGGGCAGGAGGCAGAGGCAGCTCCATCCCTGCACCTCCAGCACACCCAGCACCTCTAACCAGAGAGAACCAAACACCCCAGAGAGGCCAAATCCCCCAGGGATGGTCCAAATACTCTGTGGGCACTTCCCACCCCCTCTGCCTACAGACCAGCCAGCCAGCCCTTGTTTTAGATCTGCTTTCCATATCATCTCTCCTGCTCATTGTAGAAGGCTGGTGGGTACAAAGATGACAAAATACTGTCTGACACAGTGCCCTTTACAGCCCTGTGCCAAAAAAAGATCCTTACTTTATTACTACAGCCTGGAATCTCAGCCATGCTGTGCTTAAAAAAAAATATTTTAAAAGGCCATTTTACCTTAAAAACTTGTCACTCTTTAAAGCTTTACAAAGCCAGGTCTGTGCGTTTTGGTTCATGTATTCGTGGTGCATCCAAATGGAAGGTAATTCAACCTCAGACAGAGAGTTTTCCAGTCTGGGAGAACTCAGTGCTTTGGAATACACAGCTCCAAACCCCATCAGGTGGGTCTCGGGCCAGGAGTGTTAATTTTGAGCAAGTTTTAAGCAGAGAGGAAGTATCTGCTGAGTGCTACAAACAGCAAAGACTTGCTCTCTGGGGTGAAGGAGCTCTGCTGCCAGGAGCTGGTCCTGATGTGCTCGTGGGTGTGTTTGTGATGAGATAATGCTCTGAACTGGTGGGATTTGTTGGTGGAGTGTGTTGGTTCACTGGATGTGAAGGAGAGACTTCACGTGGCTCGGTGGGAGCTCAGAGACGAGTGGTTGGTTAAAGGTACCCGTCGGTTCCTCTCCCTGTTGGGGAGCCTGGGAAGCTCTGCAGAAAAACAGCTCCAGGTTTTGTTGTTGGGGAATTTATCTCCAGCTCCCTCGCTCAGGGCCGGCAGTACCAGGGGACATTTGGCAGCTGAAGTGCTTTGGATGCTGCTTTTGTCCTTTTCAATTTGCTGTAATAGCAGCGACGTGAGAGGAGATGTTCAGGACTGGATACTTTCAAGGTTGTCCCATTTTTTAAAAGAACATTATTACTGCACAGAACAGCCCGTGTTTGGGGACCAGGACTGGACTCAACTCTGAAAAACTGCCCAGTACCTCCCAGATATAAAAGCATCACAGGTCCTTGCCAGGTTTTGGTCCAGCCCAGGCTGTGCAATCTCCCTGTGGAAGGGAAATACTGTGAAACATGGGCTTGCTAATGCAAAAAAAGCCTTCTCCATACCTGTGTTTTACAGTCCCAAATACAGCCTGTGCTGCTGGATCTTATGGATCATAGCACAGGGCACAGGTGGATGCCTTTCCATGATGTTCTGCTCTCTCTCCTTGTGGGGTTGGGGAACTGTTAACAGACACTGAGTGCCCATTAATTCAATGTGTGATTTAAAATGTACTTTTTCGCGTGTACAAACCTTTCTGTGCAGTGCATTGTTAACTGCCTGCTGTAACTGTGTGGGTACATATTTAATTTGGTTTCTACAGAATCATGGAATAGCCTGAGCTGGAAGGGACCCACAGGGTCCATGGAAGCAGTTCTGTGATTTCACTGGGAGTTTGTGTAGCTGATAAACATTGTGGAAAGAGGTTTCCTGGAGCACTGTGGGAAAAATGGAAGGTTGCTATCATATTTTCAGAGACTGATACACAGTCAGACACCACTGTGATCTAATTAATGTCTACTTAATTAGGCTCAAGTGAAGGATTTCAGACCGTGAAGTCCAGTGGAGGTGGAATTGATAACAGTGGTATTTAGAAAATCCAGAGTGAGCTTGCCCAGAAGGTTTTGCATGGAAGCTGAACCATTGCCTGCACAGGTGCCCTTCCCATCAGGCCCATCCAGCTCCCAGGGCTGCTTTTCCTGAGGGAGGGAGGGCAGAGGTGTTGGAGAGGGCTGATGGCTCTGGTGGAGCCGCAGCTCCCTGTGCACCCTTCAGTCTGAGCTCCTCCCAAAACCTGACTCAGCTCACTCCCAGCACTGCTCTGAGCCAGTCTCTGCTCTCCAGGGATAAGAAATGACTGGCCCCTGCAAACGATCCCAGTTGATCCATGAATCAATTCTCTGTTAATACTAAAGTTATAAGATATTTATTCACTCCTGGCTACTTGGGTTGTCCCCAGAGTTCACCTTGGGGGATTGTGCTCTCACTAAAAGTTTTGATAAAAAATTGAAATGCCCTTTTGTTGTCTTACAAGTCATTAGATTCACCTGACAAAAATGATTTTATACCTAACTCCACCTATTAATCAAAAAGGTCAGGACAATAAATAGGTTTTATCTTTTCTGCCAGAAACCTTTCTTCCCTGTGGTCTTTGGGGCTGAGTACAAGAGAAGGTGTAGACAAAAGAATAGGATCTCAAAGACTGGTTGATCAATGCCACAGAGACATGAATTATTGTTGAGAATTTAGGAAGGAGAAATAGAGTGCTTTGATGCCAGGGAGAGGGAATATTGCCTGAGTTTTCAACCTCCAGGCATTAGAAGGGAATGAAGTAGCTTCATTCATCTTAATAAATTTATGTCCAGCATCTGGTTCTGAATGAGATTGATTTTCCTTTTCTGGAGGTCTTTATATGTGAGAATATAGATATATAAAATATGTATATATATTCCCCATACCATTGCTTTAATAGACCTGACACTCCTGACTTTTTCCAGTGTATCTGGTTGCAAACTTGGGATCAAGATGGAGTTTTTGCTCCTGGGTTTTGCACGGATCATTTTGCTCACTGATGACTCCTGGAATCACGCCCTGTCTCAGAACTGGAGGGGCTGCTGGAGTCACTGGTTTCCAGCAGGGTTTTGCAGTGATGTGTTGCTGGGACATCTCACACACGTGGTAACATGGAATTGGTTTCCCCTGGGAATCTGCAGGTCCTACTTGTCCTGTGGGCTTTGTCCTTTGCTTTGTTAATATTTTACCCCTCTCCAGTGACCCCCTCCCTCCATTACCCCCAAATTCCTGGGAGGCTTTAGCAGTTTGGATATGCAGAATATCCAGTCACTGCTCCTGCCCTGTGAGCAGCGTGAGCTGGAGGAAGGACGAGCTACTGCAAATGTCATGAGAAGAAAAAAACCCACAAGTGGCATTTACCTTTCTGATTATTCCCTCTCGTCCCCGGCGCCGGGCGTACGTTTCCATTACAGGATTGTGTGTGACAAAGAGGAGTTAGATTTGCACTGCAAATGAATTTTTAAGTATCCTCCTGCCCCTGCAGCCTCTCCAGGAGTGATGATGCTCCCAGCTCTCTGTGTCTGCCATCCCTGCCTGGCCTGGAAACACGGGCACCACCTGCAGCCTCTCTGCTCTTCTCAAATGCCTCTCTAAACGTCACTCCCCTGCACCCTAAATCTTGAGGAATATCAGCAGAATCGAGGCCACCCACGTTGTCTGAGGCAGATCTCCACATCCATCCTCAGGTTGTGCTTCCCATCCTTCCCCTGCCAGGGTGACAAACCCAGTGCTGTGCACAGGGCTGGTCTCCAACCTGTAGTAACTTGCTCAGCCCATAAAAATGGGGATACACACAGGTGTCTGATGGACACAGCGCTGCTGTAGCTGTGCTCTGGTTGTCTGACAACAGCTTTTCTGCCATGAGTGTTAAAACACCAGCTTGCAATGTGCTATTAAGGGAACAGATGGATATTTTGCCATGTGATGCAGCCTAGAAAACAGATTTGATTTAGTGCACCATGCTTGTCTGACTTTTAAACTTGTATTAAACAGGATTTCATAAAGGCAGACTCCACATCAGAATCTCGGCTAACGGGGCATGGGGATCCATTCTTTCGTTTCAAAGGGGCAGATGGGTATGAATATTTATTTACTTTGAGGGCTTTTGTTGGAGGGGGAAAAGGGCTTCGTTATGTGTTTTGATTTCACGGCACAATCAAGGAAATTAATACAATGTATAAAACAGTAATTAAAACCATTAGATTTCTGAGCCCATACTGACACAGGAGATCTCCCCCACACAGAAAGCTGGTTCTTTTTCTTGCAGTGCTCCTGGCATTCAGCTGCTGAGATTATTATGTAATGTCAGTTCATGTCTCTTCAAAATGAATTTTGCAGATTTAACCACTCCTGCACTGTCTCGAGGCCCTCTGGCCTTACCAGCCTGGGGTAAAGTCTTCATGCTCTACACTAATCACCTACCTTGTAAGGGCTCTGTCTAGACATGCCCCAGTAATGCCCCACTTACAGATGTTTGATGTGGGAAGGCCAGTAGGTTCTTGCATCAAGGCCTGATCCAGCTGGGTTGGGATAAATGGAGGGATTACTCCTGCCTTTGCCTGGAATGGCTCATTTAGGGGGTCTTTGGGAGGATCTTGTGGTTCCTGGGCTCATTTCAGACATGATGTGACAAATTCCTGTGTAGTTACACAGGTAGTGCTAAAAGGGATTCAGACCCTGCTGAATATATGGTAAATATATGAAGATACACCATATATATTTATTATCCAATGTATTTGATATATATATATGCATGAATTAGATGGCTTCCTAACAGGAGAAATGGTGTTTTAACAGTAATGGTGGTATCTGGAATCAGGCAGAATAGGGAATTATCAGTGTAAGAAAGGAGAGAGAGTTAAGATGAGATCCTTTATTCTTTTGGACAGTATCACTTTGGGAAATGCACCATATGTGCTTTTTAATGTTGGAATGAAGTAGGAGAGAGGAGGAAGAGGAGATTGCCCTCGATTTGGAAAATCAGAGTGCACCAGCATGACCTGTTTCCGTGGCTGAGAACCTTCAGCCTACAAAGTTCTTGTTTAAAGACTTTATCTCACTGACCAGATGGTGCAATTTGTCTGGCACTGACATTTGGGAATATCTG